TTTAAAACTGAAACCTTAGAAAATATATCATCAACAGTGAATATTTGTACATAAACTTACGTGTTTTGATCAACAGATATTTTTGAAATACCAAAATGCTTTCCTGATGGTAAAGAAATAGAGAGTTTAACAGTCCTCGACTCACCCCTTTTGACGTCAATTGATGATGAAGATGCATTCGAACGTTACGACAAAAATCTCGAAATTCTTATTTTTCGCCAAACCGGACTTGGAGTCGTTAACTGGGAAGCTTTTGCAAATGTTAAGAAATTGACGGTGACAAAAAGGCATCTTGTACATTATAGTAAATTTACCAACGTGCAATTTCTACTTGAATCCCTATACTATATTCAAATGAAATGATTCATTCAAATTATTAGCGTTAATCATTGTTAAAGGAGAGTGACCATGATTATATATGTTCTGCGGAGATGGTGATAATTTGCGGTGTTCTTGAAAAAAAAATTATTTGTCAAAGTTATAACTAGGACCGCGATTTCACAATACTGTATGAATTTTATTAGTATCGTTTATTTACCTTTCTCAACTAACAACAAATTACCCAAAACTTGAGTGATTTTTACGATTTCATGGTCCAATTCTTATTGACTACTTAAATTACGTTGATAACTTTGCTAATAATAAACGGGTATTATTCATGTATTGTTTATTTTTCTATACAGACACTCGAAATATCATCAAGTCGGTTGAAATGCATTGAACCGATGGATCTAAGAAATTTACAAATTCTGAATTTGTCGGGCAACAGTGATTTAAAATTTTGTACAGATCAAGAATTGTTTGTGGAAATGCCTTTTTTGGAAACATTGGATTTAAGAAACTGTAGCATTCAGGTAGAAAAACTTAAAACATTGTTATTTCATTTGCACAGTTTTTTTGAAAATTGAGTCGAGTTTTATTTGCGCTAATATTCGAACAAACGACTGTTTCAAGCTATGGATTCTATACTTTGTTTTTCAAATTTTTCTTGGTATACGACGTGCTTTTTAATATCTTTCATATTTAGGGAATGTATGAATATACTTTCCGTGGACCGAATAAACTTACTTACCTGAATATGAATTTTAACAACGAACTGGAAGAAATACCTAAAGACGCCTTTTCTGATCTTTCAAGATTACAAGAGCTTCATATAAGCTATTGCGGGTTACGAACTCTTTATCCAGAGCATTTTTCCACGGCACATAGCGATGGAAGTTTGGAATCCGTGAAAGCGATTGGTAACTGTTGGAAATGTGAAACAATGTGCAATTTTGGAGCATGGATGGACGACAACGACGACTTTCGCGACATTTTTGATGGTGAGCGGTGCAAAACGCCAACTTATTTGAGTGACGAATTACTTCAAAATTTGGGCGAAAGTGAGCTCTGTTACATCTACACGACTGATGCTCTCATTGTGATAGGTGCACTTTGTTTAATGATGCTAACACTTATTTGCTGTTTTGCGTTAGCTTTCAAAAACTATTTTATCGGAATGTGTAAAAGTAGTGACGTGTACAGTTCAAACCCTACTAGTCAGCAGCAATCTAATTTACGAAGTGCACCTCGAACAGGTCGGGCAGGCGTAGAAAACTCCGCCGCAGAGACGGACGATCACGCTATTGTTACTGTTGATGGAGCGATGTCCACTGATTCTGTTGGGGGATGGTGTATACACGATATAGATCCACCTGGCTATGACGCAGTCGTAGGAAAAAATGATGAAAACATGGATATCATGACAATGACATTGCGAAACGCAGATGACGCAGATTCAATGACAGATGTCGCTCCACCTCCTTATGATGAACATGCTTTTGCTTAAGTATTATTGGACACGTTTAGTGGTCATAACGATCGTTTCAAAATTTTGTTGTTATTGTTATTGTTGTTATTTGTCTCCGTCTCCATTTTTAAAAAATCGCTTTTCTCTTCGAATACTGGACCAATTGCTTTGCAATTTTCAGTGGTTAAAGATTATTGGACACGTTTAGTGGCCATAACGATCGTTTCAAAATTTTGTTGTTATTGTTATTGTTGTTATTTGTCTCCGTCTCCATTTTTAAAAAATCGCTTTTCTCTTCGAATACTGGACCAATTGCTTTGAAATTTTCAGTGGTTCAAGATTAATTTTTTCGCTAGAAGGCTATTACTTTTATTTATTTCAAAATTTTGCGTGAATTCTATGAAATTTGATATTTCGTTTAAAATTTTGCTGTATTATTTTTTATCCATAGGAACACGGATTTTAGTCAGTGTCATGACTGGCTGTACGTTTTGATTCTGCAAAATTCTTGCTACTGGAAATTCAGAACTTTTTTGAGGGTACCACCGGTAGCGTCAAAGGTACCGGTAAGGAATGATTCGCTCTGGTCTAACGTGTCCATATATTTGTGCGTAGCTCTCTTGTTAAAGCATTCAAAACGTATGCTTTATTTGTGAAGTCAATGTTAGACCTTAAGTAACTATCTAAATAAAATATTTTAAACGATGTGCAAATCAAGAGGAGTCACGTTGGCGCCCACTGCTTACCTCATTGCAGCGTTGCTCGTATTGTACGTGGTCAGGCTTTTGATTCTGGACGACTAGGTATGTTCAAATATTATCTGACGTTTGAAAATATCTTAAGGTTGCAAATAATCGGCAAAAAGACAGCTATCAATCTGAATCAATCAATTTTGTATGTGTGTCTGTAAATTTACTTTTTATTATTTTATAACAGAAATACTTTATTTGTTGTTTTTTTCGTTTATTTTAATTCTTGTTTCAATTTTGATTTATTTTGCTATTTCATTTTGCAGTATTATTATAATTGAAGTTGCTTTATTTTACTATATTTTCACAATAATGAGAATGAAACACATTAAATTTACGTATATCTTAAAAATTGTATCTTTCACGTTATGTTGTTATTTGTTATGAAAGTTATTGTATGACTTGCACTTCGAAATTTTACGAGCATCATGGTACTAGTGCAATGTTTCCCAACCCGAGTCCGTGGTCTCAAATGAGTCCGCGGAGCGTTTGAATGAGTCCGCAACGAGCCAGAAATTCACTGCGGGCCGCAAAAAGCACTTCGCGACCGATTAAAGACGCTTTTTTAGACATTGCAAATTGCAAAATTCCGGGTGCTACCGTAGTATATGTACCAGGGCATTTTCCTTTAGTATTCTGTGCTTTACTGCCTACACATTGGTACGTACAGTGGTAAAGGAGCGCCGTAAGTGTTGTACAAACAGCTCAGATTTGTGGAATTCACAAAAAATACGAATCAAAACAAACAATAATCGCCATCGGGCACTTTACCACGCATTTTTGTGTCTACGATTAACATGGTATTTTCCGAGTAGTACTGCTTTTATTTCGTCAACACAATCGCAGATAAAAAGGATCACGCATATGGAAGGTTTGAATATTTTTAGCAACAGAAAAAATTATTGAAAAGTCGGCTCTTTTAACAAGTGACGTATACGCGACGATTCCTTAAGAAGTTGTTCGCGAGAATTTCAAAGCGATATATATATATTTGATTTACTAATATACTTTAAATACATTTTTAATAAATACTAAATTAAGTTGTACATTCTGAAAATTTATAGCAGATAGGATTTTTTCTAACGGCAAAAAAAAATCGCAAGAACGCAAAAAATATGTATCAAATCTGAATATAATCGGGTAATACATTCTCTCATTTTTATGTTCGCAGATGGCCATGGTTATTGAAAGAAGTAATGCTTTCACCTTGTAGTAAGTCGACGCAACCGCGAGTTACCATGAACACAATTAAATTAAAATAGAAACATATTTTAAATTCTCGTCGATGTCATGAACTGAATATTGTGTAAGAAAAAGTCCATTATACACCAAAAAGTCGGCTCTTTTAACGAACGCGTAATTGCGCGAATTTCCGATTTTGAAATTCGTTAAATTTCTGTTGTGTTTGGTTTTATTGCTTCTTCACACAGAGTACGGTTGCAATAAATGCGCCTTGAGTTCGCAAAGGCTTTCGCTGGTGAGGATATAGTCCGCGACCTAAAAAGGTTGGGAAACGCTTTTCTAGTGAAAAAGGGTCAAACTACAAAAATGTTATCCGATTTAATCCGATTTAACACTTTAGCATCTTATAATAAAGTAGATAAAACATAGTTGTTATAGGCTACTTTGATTCTGTCGTGTGACGTTTCGGCTGGTTGATTTTAGCATCAATTATAAATTTGCTTGGTTGAATTTAAAAAAATAGTAATAATATTCAGTTACTGTAAATCCAGTTTTAGATATCGGCGGAATTGGGAATACTGTTCAGCTAAAACGTTTGAGATAACAAAAAACCCAAGTAGGCTACTAAAATTGACGAAACGCTTAATATTTCAACTTTATACTCGATCTTTCGTTTGAACATTTGTGCCAAGTTTTGATCGAATCTAGAGTTATGTAAACAATAGTCTGTCCTGACTGGACAAACAATCAAAGCAGACTTACTGTTCAAAAATATTATGAAAGCACACATTTCCGAATATTACACAACAGTTCATCTATATTCTATCAAACATTAACTACGGGAGGCTGAACGAATATGCTAAAAACAATCAGGAAATTAAATATAATTCCACGTTAAAATTTAAGGCAAAAACAGTCAAATTGGTGATTCCAGCAAAGCATGAGACACAATCAAAGGGATCCTGGGGGTACCTCATAAGTATAGTTCGTATTCTGCTCGACATTATCTTATAACAATTTTTGAATTAAGCAGAAATCTTTTTATCCATGAGTTTTTGCTAAATGCATTTTGTACAAGCGTAATTGTTTTACCTTATCAATTCTCGGGACGAATAACCATTAACAGTTTCTTGGGAACAACTTTTTGTTGACCATATTATGCACTAGGGCTGTTGTATTTGAAATTTACATCACAGTAGTAGACGATCGGTCTGAAAGAGTCAGTATTCGTTATGACAAGCGTAAAAATATCGCTAAGCTTCTTTGTAGTCGCTCTTTTAAACTCCATGGCAAGTGGAATATTGCCTGACGCATCGGAAAAAGCTTCAAGGAAAGACGATGACACAGATCGCCCATGTCCTGAAAATTGTGACTGTTCGGATGAAACATCGCCGGTATGCACAGGTATGTACATAAGTATGTAGTGTGTTTTAAGCACCTTGATTTATATCCGTATTTTTTATACAAATTGTGCGTCTGCGTATAAATTTGATATGAATTTCAATTATTTGATCGGCTTATTTTAAGGTTGCTAGGTTTTTTCATTAGGATTTAAATGATTAAGATTAATGATAAGATTTAAATTAATATAAAATGATATATAGAATACAGTGACGTGCTATTTTTCCACACATATCTCTGACCAAGTAGGCTCCAAACTGTGACTAGTTACTGCGACCTAACCCTCGTGAATTTCCTTGACAAAGTACATTCCTCACGACCTTGACTACAGTGCTGTCTAACTTGGGTACTCTACAGGTGACTCTAATATGCCCGGGCGTACAGCTTTTTCTTGTCTTGGTTTGATCAATTTTTCATATCTTCTGTTAAAATGAAGGCTTACATTCTAAGTTCGTTGTATGTGTTGTTTAATAATAAACTTTGAAATTGTAAAATTCCAAGTTGATTAAGAGTATTGTAATCTCAACTCATCTTGTTGATACTTTACAGTTCTTTTAGATTTAAACGACGCCATAATGCTATAGGGCAATGGCATAATAATTCATATTTCATTTGCATGAGCCAAAACGACATAAGGTGTTCAATTATCTTGGACACTGGATGGAACTAAAAATTACTACATTTCTTTATAATTTGACCAGTTTATCAATTTATTTAATTTTTTATAACACTTTTAAGAAATATTATTTGTAACGGGATTAGGGGCATCTTCATTTATTTCCTATTGTATGAGTAATAATCTTGAACATACATAAAAGTTGTATAAAATAAAATAATCAGTGTAAAGAATATTTGATAACATTTCATGTCTTGAGAAATTAAAGGCTGCAATAATTACTATGATACAATTACAAAACAACGGTATGTACAACCAGAACTTTTTTAAATTTAAATTAGCATTAATTGTAATTTTTCTAACTGAAATCTTAGAAAATATGTAATCAACAGTGAATATTTGTACCCAAACTTACATGTTTTATTCAACAGACATTTCCCAAATACCAAAATACTTCCGTGATGGTAATGAAATAGAGAGTTTAACAGTACTCGACTCACCCTTTTTGACGTCAATTGATGATGAAGATGCATTCGAACGTTATGACAGAAATCTCGAAACTCTTATTTTTCGTCAAACAGGACTTAGCGTCGTTAACTGGGAAGCTTTCGCAAAAGTTAGGAAATTGAAGGTGACGAAAAGGCATTTTGTACATTATAGAAATTTAACCATCGTACAATTTCTACTTGAATCCCTATACTATATTCAAATAAAATGATTCATTCAAATTATTAGCGTTAATCATTGTTAAATGAGAGTGACCATGATTATATATGTTCTGCGGAGATAGTGGTGATATGATTTGCGTGTTCTTGAAAAAAAAAAAATATTTGTCAAAGTTGAAACTCGACTCGCATGCCTATCCATGCCCTGTTTGAATATACCTAGGACCGTGATTTTACAATATTGTATGAATTTATCTGTCTCGTTAATTTATCTTTCTTAACTAATGACAAATTACCCAAAATTTGAGTGATTTTCACGATTTCATGGTCCAATTCTTATTGGCTATTTTAATTGCGTTAATAATTTTGCTAATGATATAATAAAAATGATTATAAGCTATTTTTGGTGGCACAAGTGTTCATGTGTTGTTTGTCTTTTTACAGACACTTGAAATATCATCGAGTCAGTTGAAATGCTTTGAACCGATGGATCTAAAAAATTTACAAACTCTGAATTTGTCGCGCAACAATGATTTAAAGTTTTGTACAACTCAAGAATTGTTTGTGGAAATGCCTTCCTTGGAAACATTGGATCTGAGAAATTGTAGTATTCAGGTAAAATCTTAAAAACATTGCATTTGCACAATTTTTCTTGAGCTATTGTTTTTATACTTTTATGCTTTCAATTTTTTTTTGGTATATTACGTGCTTTTTAAAACCTTTTATATTTAGGGAATGTATGAATATATTTTCCGTGGACCAAATGCACTTACTTACCTGAATATGGATTTTAACAACAAACTGGAAGAAATACCTAAATACGCCTTTTCTAATCTTTCAAGATTACAAGAACTTCATATAAGCAGCTGTGGATTACGAACTCTTTATCCAGAGCATTTTTCCACTGCATATAACGAGGGGAGTTTGAAATCCGTGATAGCAATCGGAAACTATTGGGAATGTGAAACGATGTGCAAGTTCGGAGAATGGATGGACGACAACGACGAGTTTCGCGAATTTTTTTTTGGTGGGCGCTGCGAAACGCCGACTCATTTGAATGACAAATTTCTTCGGTATTTGGGCGAAAGTGAGCTCTGTTACATCTACACATCTGATGCTATCATTGTGATATGTACACTTTGTTTAATGATGCTAATACTTATCTGCTGCTTTGCGGTAGCTTTCAAAAACTGTTTTATCGGAATGTGTAAAAGTAGTTCCACATATAGGCCTAGTCGGTCCAGTCAACAGCAATCTAATTCACAAAGTAGACGTCGAACAAGTCGGGAAGGCGTAGAAAATTCCGCCGCAGAGACGGACGATCACACTATTGTTACTGTTGATGGAGCGATGTCCGCTGATTCTGTTGGGGGATGGTGTATACACGATATAGATCCACCTGGCTATGACGCAGTCGTAGGAAAAAATAATGAAAACATGGATTTCATGCAAATGACTTTGCAAAACGCAGATGACGCAGATTCGATGACAGATATCCCTCCACCTCCATACGTTGAGCATGCTTTTGCTTAAGTATTATAAAAACACCCAAAACGTATGCTTAATATGTGTCGTTAATGTTAGACTTTAAGTAACTACCTAAATAAAATATTTTTAAACAATGTTCAAACCAATAGGGGTCACGCTGATGATCACTGCTTACCTCATTGCGGAGTTGCCTGTATGATGTGTGGCCAGGTTTTTGATCCTGAATGACTATGTTTAGATAATATCTGACGTTTATGCATATCTTGAGGTTACAAATAATCAGCAAAAAGGCTGGTTATCAATCAATCGTGAATCAATCAATCTAGTATGGGTGTCTTCAAATACACTTTTTAATGTTTTATTACAGAAATATTTTATTTGTTCTTCTTGTTTTTAAATAATTTTGATTTATTTTGCTATTTCATTTTGCATTAATGCAGTATTATTATAAATAAAGTTGCTTTATTTTACTATATTTTCAGAATAATGGGAATGAAACACATTAAATGAACGTGTATCTTAAAAATTGTATCTTTACGTTATGTTGTTATATGTTATGAGAGTTATTATATGACTCGCACTTCGAAATTTTAAGAACGCCACGGTTCTCCTGAAATAGGTTCAAACTACAAAAATGTTATCCGATTTATGAAAGGACTTTAGTGTCTTATAATAAAGTAGATAAAACATAAAAAAAACGTTATAGGCTACTTTAATCTGTCGTGTGGCGTTTCGTATTACACCATAACATTTACAAGGCATAGAAAACGTTGAATCAATACAACAATGTTTGCATTAATATTGATTTTTATCAAATATTAACAGAAATAATGTGATATGCACACCCTTATGAATATGTATAATTTTCGTAATTATATTTCATTTTATGACGCCATTCTTCTTTTTATATATATCAAGAGCCCATATGTTGTGCAAATTCGATAAAAGACAAGGGAAAAAAATGCTCAAATATAAGGACACGAAAGTTCAATGACTAACCTCACCACCGTTAGGACCGTATGCAACTTGCACATATCTGATCATTCAAAAGCTTTGTATAAGAATTGCAAATCAAGCCAATAATCCACATAGGCAGCGCAGCTGGGTAGTAAGCACCGAGCAGTTTTCGAAAAAAGCTGGGTTTGTTCTGACGTAATATACGCGGTAGCGCAAAATTCGTAGAAATAGTTAAGTTTCGAATGACAAATCAGAGAAACTCAAAGAAAATTTGAAAAAATGAAAGTAAGAGCTTTCGAGCGGTTTCAACCCTCTTTGTACCTGAAAACAATTAACCCCACAACAATCATAAAAATTCGGCCAAACGATCCATAGTGACATTTCTTGTCCAATAATATGACGATGGAGTCAAGTTTATTATTTGCTTGGGATTTGCGTTGTGTTGCAAAGTTTTAATCCTTTTGATTATGCGCTCACATAAAGGATGAAATAATGCCACACCGGAGACATTTATATAACTGAACCAATTTAATTACATCTACGTGCTCCAACATCCGAACATGTATTCTGTTACTTGTTACTTGAATAATAAGGAATACAAATGTTTATACAGTATAATTAGGGTTCGTACTTATGTAACTTCATTGAAAACAGACTTTAGAAAACTATTACTTGGTGGGATGAAGATGCGATGCACGACGCAGAACGAACTCTGATGGATTACTGCACGCCCGTTTACTGTAGTTTCCTTTCGACAAAAATTTGATGATGGAATTTTCAGAACTTTCGCTTCGTGAAATTCTATATATATATATATAAAGCTCATCGATTATTATGCGAACAGGAACTGACTGCATTATCCGATTATTTTGTCTCGTCATTTCTGTTGTTTTATCAATTTATTTACTCGGTAAACAGAGAAATATTTATTAGCACATTAACATTTCTACACAATTAAATATTAACAGAAGGGTTTGGGCCACACATATCTATATTTGAACGCGAAACTACATCGCGAAGGGCTATCTAGACAAGTCAGTCATATTCGGAGATTTAGTTTTTACGGCATGCTGCCAAGAAAAATTAAAAATAGAAATATGGCATTATTAAGATTTCCAATTATTTTATTGTATGCTGCATCTCTTTCATCTATTTACTGTACAGAGAGAAAACTTGCACCTCAAGCAGTTTATCAGCAAAATCAACCCCCACAAAATTCAAGCTCTCCACCTTGCGCATGCCCAGAAGAATGCCAGTGCCTGGGACAAGTTGTTATTTGCACAGGTAATAGCATTGTTCTATCAAAATAGCTACACAAATTAAATTAGAGTACGTGTATGATGTGAAATTTGTGCAAATTTTAAAGGAGTGATTTGGATTAGATTGTTAACTATTTCCTATTTCCACGTTTATTTTCTACAACAATGTTGGTACTAACTGATAAGTTGAGTTAATGTATGCGCTCGAGTGTTTTTCCAGTTCGATTGCAGAAATAAGTGCATAGAGACCTAGAGAGTCGTTTCAGTCACATAGATTTATAAGACGTAGTTTTACACCTTCCGTTTCAAACAAGACTCTGCACAAACAGCCAGCCACAGTTAAGTAGATACTATAGTTTGGAGGGACCAGAATCTTTCCCGTTGGACATTGCCCACTCAATTTAATGTACCCTGGGTACGGTGAGCATAGAGTTTGAAACAGAGAATTGGGCTAATACTCTAATCACTAGGATGCTACGCCCAATTAACACGTCATAACTGGTCAAAGGTCATAAAAAACAATGTAAGTCCAGCATCCAGTATGACATTTGACCTTCATGACCATATATTCAAGCGTTGCTCCATTGTTCCCATTTCCTTTTTCAGGAATCACGGAAATACCAAGATGTTTTCCAGGCGATATTGTAGTGAAACTTGTGATACAGAACTCTCCGAGTTTATACTTTTTGAATGATCACAGTTTTGTCGAATACGGCGCACATCTTGAAAGTTTGATATTACGCAATACTGGACTCACGTATATAGATCACAATGCATTCAAAGGATTTCATAATTTAAAAGTAATATCAATTTGCAATATTGTCATAGGGGAAAAGGCAGGTTGTTGGTACTGATTATTTCCATTATAATTTTTTTAGACACTTGAAATATCAACAAGCATGCTGGAGAGTATAAATTTCTCATTGAAAATACCTACTTTGCAAACACTGAATGTAACAAATTCAAATCGTTTGTCGTTGAAGGGATATCAATTCGAGAAACTGACATATTTGCAAATCTTAGATATTAGCCGTTGTAATATACAGGTAAGGTGACCTAATAATTACATATGCAGATATTGTCAGAGCTATTTATCCAATATAAACAGAATCTTCTTTTCCCACTGATAACAATATTCGCTGTTATTGGACTCAAAATGGACCTATGGATCGTTATTGTTATTGCGTTGTTGTTTGTATTTTTCTTGTTGTTAATAAAACATATTTTTCTATGACTACTGAACCAATTATTTTGAGATTTTTTGTGTATAAAGATTCATTTTATTTATTTCAATTTCTGTGGGCATTGTGGGATTCGTTTATGCACATTGTAATTCTGTGTCATGACGTCAGCATCGCGTGGCGGTTCCGCGATAGCATTCCATCGATCTGGTGCTCATCGAAGTCGGGAATTTTATGATAAGCTGAACGTAGACTACCGATACTGTAAAAGATTTCATACTGCGGTTGTGACCTGAATAACTTGCTATTTCGATTCACACTGAGACTGGACGCATAAATCTTCATCGTCACAGGACCTGCGACAGCTAAGTTAGTTGGAGTACTGATACCATTACTGTCCGGCCAGTCTGGATTTCATGGCCTCTTTGAACGAGAAATCGGGCCTGCAATCAGAAATTCCCGCGTGAAAATCAGAATTCCCGGCGTGCAATTATAGCTCACGGCGTGCAAGAGTACTGCGCCCGCGTGCAACTGACTTTGATTTTAGATGATTTATTATACTATACCTACTTATACTGTCCGACTGTTCAATACATCCGCGAAAAATTATTGGAAAATAAATACGTTGAATCAGAGCAAAAATGAAGTTTGACTTTTACCCCCAAACATTATTTCTATACCTTGTCATTAATTTTGAGACTGTTTGTGCAACTTTGCATAATGGTACTGTTCAGTACATTCGTGTAAAATTATTGAATAAAAATACGTTTAATCAGAGCAAAATGGACGTCTGACCTTTGACCCCAAACTTGATTTCTATACTTTGTCATTAATTTTGGGAGTGTTTTTTACGTAGAATTATTGAATAAACAATACTCTGAATCAAAACCGTAACTGAACAGCGTCGGCAAGGAGTCTGGCGATCTTTCCGCTCATAACTATTCTCACGGGATTCCTACCATTCAACACGATGCGCCATACCGCCAAGCAATTATGAAATGTGGTCTTTTTTGCTTCGCATTTTTCGATCACGCCAAATCTTGCAAGCTAGTATGCAGTCGACAATTTTGGAGCTACAATTTGTTGGCATCATTATATAATGGCGGCGCGTCAATAGGGCCAACCGGGGCAATGCCCCGGTTGTTTTTTTGGTATAATAAAAAATATTCGAAAAATACCTCAATATCGGTTGCACAGACTGTCTACACTAGCCATATTCTCCCGACATGGTTCATTTTTCGCTCGCAAAGCCTTCGCCGAACGTCGACGGGGCGACGCCGATTTTGCCCCGGTTGCTCATTGTATATCGTATTCTCTCTTTTATCTTCCACTCGCCGCGTTTTTCTCGTTTGTTTTCTGTTTCTTTTACTAAATCATCGGGGCCGACCGGGGCTAGCCCCGAAATTATGACGACACAATGCCGACGTTTCTTACAACAACGTGTTGACATATTCACGCATTCCTTCTTGTTCGTTGGTTGCTTGAAGAGTTGATAGTTTCCTCGCCTTCGTTTTTGTCGCTTGTTTCGCTATTTGAATCAGTTAGAGACCTTTAGTCCATTTGCTTTCGATTTTCCACATTCCTTTTGAGCTCCTCACTTCTTTCCGGCTTCGCATTTCTTAGCCTTAGACCTCATAATGAATAAGGTTGATTCACTACTTCGCACTCCGTTTTCGCAGCTGCCGCTGGAACAAAAATTAGAGGTACAACGTCTTGGGCCTTATCAACCAAAAAATTGTTCACTGGAACAATCCCATGACGGAGGAAAGCGTCGGCGTACATTCTGCGCAGAAACTTGGTATAAAAAACACGAATGGTTGTGTTACAGCGAGGACAAAAATGCACTTTTTTGTTTTTATTGCCTACTTTTTGCTACCGCCCGTGACTCACGTTGGTGTAAATTTGGTTTTAGAGATCTTAAACATCTTTCCGATCGTGCCACAGATCATCAATCTTCTATGGAGCATCTGGACAATGCAGTAAAATACCGAACATTCGGAAATGTTAATATTGCAGCACAGTTGGATGAAGGACGCGCGGTTTCTATTCGTTGGCACAACCAAAACGTCGAGAAAAACCGCCATGTTCTCGGTCGATTGATAGATGTTTTGAGGTTCATTGGTTGTCACGAGCTGTCCCTCCGTGGGCACGATGAACGGGCTGGCTCTTCTAATAGAGGGGTGTTTTTGGATATGGTGGAATACACCGCATCCCTAGATACAGTATTGAGAGATCATCTTGATGCCGCAACTGTTTCGAAAGGGACATCTAAGGATATCCGAAATGATTTGCTCGACTCAATGTATAAAATTTATTTACAACATTTGGCTCTGGAAATTGAGAATTGCCAGTTCCTTTCGATTCAGTCTGACGAGACAACTGACATCACGTGCGTTTCTCAACTGGCTGTGATTTTTCGGTTTGTGAAAGATGGTAAACCTACCGAGAGATTTCACAACACAACGTGAAGTCAAAATTGATAGCTCAAACTTATGACGGCGCAGCAGTCATGAGTGGGTCGAAACATGGTGTTCAAGTTTATATAAAAGAAGATTTTCCTCATGCGCATTTTTTACATTGTTATGCACACCAATTTAACCTCGTTATTAAAAATATGTGTCTTGATACCCCTCCCCTTTTGCAAATGTTTCGGGGTTTTCTTCATTTTTTTCCGTTTCGCCGAAGCGCTCAGACCTCCTTCGCCAGATATGTAGCCGCCGTCTCCCAGCTTGTGCACCAACACGTTGGAACTTCCAATCACGCGTGGTGCAGGGCGTGTCCGAAATTAGGTCTGAGCTCATTGAGTGTTTCAATGGCATTCAGAGCTCTCCAGTTTGGGACGAACGCTCTGTGAGGGAGGCGGCAGGTCTAAAGCGTCTGCTAGAAGATGGTGAGTTTTCATTTTTTCTCGCTTTTTTCTCCACAATATTCTATCACGTGGATGTATTATACGGCGTATTGCAGTCAAGGCTAATGGATGGAGCGTCTGTGCAGTCGTGTACTTCAGACTTCTGCGATGCTGTATCTCGTATCCGGGAAACAATAAATTACGACGACACATGGAGTGCTTCTTTACGCCGCGGGCAAACAACGCAGCGTTTGATTTTGTCTGCAAAGGAATGCTGTGACATTCTGGTAAATCAAATAGGCGATCGTCTGCGCACTGACCACTTTGCCGCGAACATTCAGCACGCTGAAGCGTATTAAAACGTATCCCAGAAACACAATAAAGCAAGATAGATTAAATTCCTTGGCTGTTTATCCATTCACAGAGACGTTATTTCTGGGATGCATGACTTTAATCAGCGCGTTATTGAGCACTTTGCTTCCAAGAAACCGCGGCGTGTTGCATATATGTTCAAGCAGTAGAAGTCTAGCAGCATATATATCTATGAGTGAGCGACGCATGTCCTTATCTTTGCATTACCTTTCCTTTCTTCATAGTAACGTTTTAAACCTTATTTTAGGTTTTGTCTGCTTTCCCGAAGTTTCTGTTAATATGTCATTGTATTTATCTGGGTAAATATTGCCTTTCCTTTTGAAAGAGGTTTCAAAATAAACTATGTCTATATTTATTAATCCCTTGACTTGGACCGGTTTTAAAGACACTTTCTTATCGTTAAGAATTGTCGCTTTTGCCGATTGGTTGTTACCGATGAAATGGTTTTTATACTCATAAAATGATGGGATAACTTACAGCGCTCATCCTGTCCCCGTAGATGGGGGTGACTTGGTCCCGCAGTAGCTTGCCCCGGTTGTCAAAATGACCACGCGCCGCCACTGATTATATTACTGGATTATTGAATTAAAAACCATTTATAACGATCTTATACTGGGAAATTTTCATATATAGCCTATACCTGCTTTACTTTATGTTTTACTTCTACTGCTTACAGGATCTATCGGCTAACGTTTTTGACAATGTTGAAAACCTGGTTTACTTGAACTTGGAATCAAACAAATATTTAGGATCAATATCACAATTTGCTCTATATCATCTGTGGAAACTTGAGAAAATATATATCAATGATTGTGGGCTTTCTGTGCTGTATCCAGAATATTTCAGTTCTCCGTATGAATCAGGACATTTAAAAGAAGCAGTAGCTTCCAGTAACAAATGGGTTTGTAGTGAAATGTGCGAGTTTATCAAATGGATGAATGAAAACCCCAACTTTTATAATGTGTTTGAAGGCGGATTCTGCAGGTATCCGTCTAACCTTGCCGGAACTCCTTTGCGTTATTTGGAGTACGATTCGGTGGATCAATGCAAAGGCTTACCGCCAGTGATACTCTTAGTTGCAGTATTGAGTATCGTGATGCTTGCTTGTTGTTGCGGACTTGCTCTGAAAAATTGTTTTGTTGGTCTGTGCAGGGAAAACGCAAACCAGACCAATCAAAATGGAGAACCTCAAACAACATCAAGAGAAAACCATGCTTCCGATTTCACCAACGACATGTTGACAGTCATTTCCGACGTAGAACCGCCATCGTATGACACTGTGCTAAAAAATAGTAGAAATTTTCCGGTTTCCTTATCTCAAAACACGTCTGGCAACGATTCCTGTCCTCCACCTTCATACGAAGAAGCAAGCGGATCAAGGACGAGCGCGTGAAAAGTGGATGTTAAATTCATCAAATAGTCGACAGCTAAACTAAATGAAGATCTCCACAGAAGACAAATATACTGCTGCAGTATTGAGAAGTGCATCCATCATTTCGACCAATAATATTAAATGTATATTAAAAAAATCATACGACTTTCTTTCGTACGACTTCGAATATTCGTAGGCGAAATATTACACTATCCCCCTTCAAACAAACTCATCAACTTCATTTGTATCAAAATATGTCAACCGGAAAACCTGACTGCAAAATGACGAATGACTCCAAAAATCATCAGATTTGTCAAACTATCTATTCTATACTCCAAACTACGCACTTGCACCATAACGCGTTCAGTCTCATGACAAAATCATACTTTGATTTAAATTTAACTGAAATGTACATTACCGTGTTGTAACAGCGTTATATTGTTAAATGTTCCCATGTAAAAAAACTCAAATTATAAAACGAGCAAAGTGTTTAAAATCGATTAATAATAATACCAAGAGAGCAATGCTCAAACTTATGGACACGGAAGACGAAACGAAATATTTTGCCCACAAGTTACTCAAAATCATATCCTGAACGATCATGAAACTATGGAACAGCTGCCGTAGCTGTGGGTCCAGTGCAGGGGTCTGCAACCTACGCCCCGTGGGGCGGATCCGGCCCGCAAAGTAAATAATCCGACCCGCAACGTTTCATTGACCTATAGCGACAAAACGGCGGTTTTGACGATGAATTTATTTTATAATCTACGCTCAAGGAGTGGATTATATTCTTTATGTAACAAAATCTATTGTGAGACACGTTTAGACTAAATTATATGACAACCCAACAATTTAGTGAACAGCTAGCTACTCGTTTAACGAGCCTACAATTTACTTATAATTGGACAAATGGCAACACGCAGAAAAGTTGATGCTGGGTGCAGGGGTTCCTTGGACACGAAGATACTTAAATGGAGCACCTTTAGTCCGGCAAATAAGGGGACCTTTTTTGTCCAAGTTTGATTACTGACATGAAGTTTATTTTTATTTGTGATTATTCATCTTGGGGTCATTGCCCATCATTTCTACATGGGTGTGGAGTTTGCAGCCTTGAGCAATTTTTTTTACGGCTCGATATTTGTATATTAGTGTTTTTCGTCAAACCTGTGCATCATAATGACGCACAACCTGAACCATAACCTGTTACAATACTATGTTCAGGTTGTGCGCAATCTTGGTGCACAAACTACGCAAGCACCAAATTTATTAGAGAACAAAATCAATAACTTTTAGGTATTTATTGAGATATTTGTATTAGTGTTTTTCGTCAAACATGTGCATCATAATGACGCACAACCTGAACCATAACCTGTTACAATACTATGTTCAGGTTGTGCGCAATCTTGGTGCACAAACTACGCAAGCACCAAATTTACTAGGAAATAAAATCAATAACTTTTAGGTATTTGTTGAGCCCAGCTTTGGGTCGCGACCCATATACAGTATATGGAAATACTGTCGAAACATACCCGTAAAATAAAGAGTACTATTACAAAATACCCGTTTTTGTTACAATTAACAATACAAGCCTGCTAATTCAGTCGCCAGTGGTTCAAGTGGAATACACCCGGTGGGGAACAGTCAATTATTTGTTAGCGAGAATTGTTATGCAGCGGGATGATCACGACGACGCAGTGAAAGATAATGATAACACGAGAACAAGAATGAGAAAATTGCTACATTTTATAGTATATCCCTGGGAAAGAATGTAGTTCATTCTTATGTTCCATGCCAATGCTTTTCAAACTACCAAAGACTCTCAACACTTTTGCTTCTTCTCTCCTATAAAAATACATTGTTATTATATATTCGCATTGTTTGTTCGTGCTTTGTTCATCTGTTTGTTCGTGCTCCCAGATAACCGATCAGCGGCCTCCAAGGAGGACGAGGTCCCCTTTTCAGAAACCCTGTCATGAACTAAAAGAGGCGACCGTGCTTCTCTTGCATGTTGTCATGCTGTCCCTGGAATTCAGCTACAACAAAAATTTTACAAAAACGGATTTTTAAATTTTATGATTTTATTATTATTCTCAACAATGAATGATATACGGGTGGTAAAATGCCAAGTTATTCCAACAACATGATCATGTTTTGCAATTTACAACCAATCTTTGTATGTAATTTTGTTTGACAGAGCCCCAAGAGCTCTAACTACAAATATCAAAAATGTGAGGCCAAAAAAGTCACACTACAACATTGTCAAAATACTCCCATGTTTTTTTTTCATTTGATAACCACGCCACAGAACTTCCCCGATAAGTATACGCAGCAATAGCGAGAGACAGAAATGCCAAGATGGGATTTCATCGCATTGCAAACCAATATTAGCAATTCTTATATACATTCGCGCATTCCCATCTGAACAGCGTGGAAAAGATTATACCCATCTACACACTTTAGGAACTATGTCAGATGAGCGTCATATTATCGGATATCAGTAAATGAATAGTGCAATGGGAAAAGACATATAAGACGGAACTTTCAGTAGAATGCAATCAAATAATCTTATTGTAGAATATATATCTAAAAAACATTTCGTCACGCCAACTGCAGTCCGAAACTTTTTGTCTCTGAGCTCAGATACCAATTGGCACTCATGTAAACTGGTAAGACTGTATGAGGAACGCGATGGAGCAGATACTGAAGGAATCCATCCCCCAGCTGCCATTTGAGTGGGTACTGCTGTTTTTATTGCAGACGTTACTGATCTTTTTGTATTAAAGATTTACTGACATCACCGATTTAAGGATGTTGGTAACCAACACGCAATATTACAAAACTTACTTTCAACACGCGGTTTGAATGAATGAAAAAGCTGAAACTAGTATTCTTTAGAACAGCATACAAATTCTATGGAATGAAATCATACACAAAAGCTCGTCAAAAACCTATAGCTACAACCGAAGCACGCAGGAAAATGTGTGTGATGTACTAGTATTCAAAACGTTTGACTCAACTATGTTGGCATAACAGATGTACATCTCGGTTTCGCATACGCATACCTTCTATCTCCACAAGGATATATTAATTTTGCCGAAGTCAATGCAGCACTGAAAGGTTACGGTTCTTCCAAAAGAAAACACGTTACACATCTTTAGATACCAGTGGATGGTGTTACATGGCCTTGTTCGGAGTGAAAGACGAGGTCAAATATTCCAATCCAATTCAACTAATAAAATATTTCACAAGTCCCTAAGCTTAAACTAGGAAAACGAAATGCGCGCGGCAACGCAAATGTAGTTTGAAGAGCGCAATAGAAAGTGGCTAGATGCTGTCGATGGATCGTGGCTTGTATTAGTGAAATAAACTACCATTTATTCCACTAAAATTGAATTTCTGACATTGTAAGGAGATTTAATGTTACTATGCATGCAAAACTAAACCATGTAGTTATGAAATATTTGTTTTTAACAAAAAGGCGCTCCTGAAGTATTCGTACCAAGATGGCGCACAACCTGAACATTGTATGTTTACCAGGTTAGGGTTCAAGATGTGCGTCATCTTGGACCGAATACTTTAAATCAACTTAAAAAAAATTGCTCAACTTTATATACTCCACACCCACCTGGGTATCATTATATATGTCATATACCATATATCTAAACAATAAAAAAAAAACTTTATGTCTCAAAACAATGTTAAGGCCCGATTCTGCCGGACTACTTGAGATGCAATGCAATGAGGAAATAAAATTCATATTCTACTTGAGAGATGCATTACTGGATGATTTTTATAAAGAGAATCTTGTTGAAGGAAATCTCTATCAAAATCCGACAAACCATGCAAAAAAATTCACTTCGATGTTTGAAAGTACATATGCGTGCGAACAACTATTTTCGAAAATGAACATTACAAAAAACAAACAGGAACTAGGATTAGTGATGCCCATTTAGAAAATGTTCCAATCTTGGCTTCATTCATTGTGCCGCCGATGTCGAAAGCGTGATGCAACAATAAGTGTCACATTAAATGTCATTTGTAATTTTTTTCGTTTAATAAAACGACTGAGTTGATTTAACGAATTGTCGCGGTCTTTGCGCGCTGTTCCATTTTTAACTTGCAAAAAATATGTGCGGTCCGCCAAGACTTGCAACCCTCAATTTTGGCCCGGAGCGACAAAAGGTTGCCGATCCCTGGTCTTGTGTAATTTAGTACCACCAGTACTTCTAGTGGGCGTGGCGTAACAATTGTTGCATAGGTCATTACTGGAGCCCACCTGACTATGTCATTCAAAATTACGTCACAACCACGTAATAGAGCTTGCCAAATTGTAGCGACGATCGCCCGTAATGACGTCACGATAACGAACTGACTAAAGCCGTAAGCCGACTACATTCTTGACGTGATTGTGACGTCGCAGTGACATACGTAATATTTGGATGACGTATTCAGGTGGGTTCAAGAATGACGCATGCAAACATTGTTACGCCACGCCCACTAGAAGCACTTGTGGTACTAAACTACACTAGGCATCCGGTTGCTTCTCGTACCCCTCTTTCGTTGAGCAAGCACCGACTTTGCAGTATCAAAATGGAGAACAACCCTGACATACGCCGTGACAATTGACGGAATAAAAACCGTGTTTCCAAGAAAAAAAAGTGAAAAAGAGCAAAATTTCGCATAATATATCAGTCTCAAAGAATTTATAAAAAATTTAGGAATAGAGTGATAGCTTTGTACCGACAAACCAATGAACAATTTTGAACCAATCGGTCCAGTAGTTAAAGAGAAAGGTAATTTTTCACAACAATATTAAATAAAATACCGACGAGAACAACAACATAATAACAAATGAACATAATCACACATGAAAAAGCGAGCCCACAGCCCACTTCTAGCGACAACAACAATCTTTAACCAATGAAAATTGTAAAGCAATTGGTCCAGTATTTAAAGAGAGGCGATTTTTGTCATAGGAACAACAACATTATACTAAAACGATCTATAGGACCACTTAGTGTCTAAAAACGAAAATAATTAATTGGGATTTCAAAAGCTGCGCAATTTTCGAAATTCATTTTGTGATATTTCTGAGTCGGCATCGATGTCCAAGCACAGTGACGCAACGTTTCGTCGATGGGAGAGACGGCAATCAAATTTGATATTATTTTTTGAATTCGGTATCTAGCAGTTCTAGTATATGTCACAGGAGCACCTGTCAAAGTATGACAGCAAATGTTCCATGCATGGAGGTATCATTGATTTTCACTAGTGAAGTACGCACTCGGGGCACAAATATGGAAGTGCACGGTAAAGAAACCCAACTTTTATGTACGCGTTTCGAGTCACTGAATTTTTATATTCATTCCAACTCAAGACCGCATAGATGGTGAGACAATATGGACTAAATTTAGATGGTTCGTCCAGGATTTCCCCCCGACATTGAAATTGTGCTGAATCAGGATTATGTATCGATTCAATGACAATTCTGTTTTTCAATAATATAAACGTTTTTCGGTATCTTGTATATATATATGCATATTTTCGCACATGAATTACATAAAAGGAAGGTACCAAAAATCACTTCGGTCCTTATATGAGTGCAGCTCAAATCTTATAAGACTTACGGAAAAAAAATGCAAGAAACAAGTTTCTCATTGCTCATTTTTTAACTAGCTTAATAAGTTTTTCAATTTCTTAAATGACTCTCAATATATATATTGCTTCTATCTTTTCCTTCGAGTGAATCTGCAATGATAGGCTTAGGAGGCTACTAAAAATCGACTGAAATTATTAGCCTAGGTTTTCTTTGCCTACTGATCAAGAGCGTGGCCAGTTCAAAAAATTTTTTGGGGGGAGCAAATTTTTTTTTTTTTATAATGACTTAAATACGACGCATACTCGTGTAGACTGATTTTTTGTGACTGTATACTGTTGTTATTAACAATATGTTGTACCTCGAATGCTATTTGCCCGATTATTCAAACTACAATTACGAAACAAACCAAATGGCAAACCCTTTGCAATGAATGGGTCAAAAGTTAAATTTTTATTTTGGAAACTAAGACTTTGGGTCATATGTATTCAATCAAAGTTTGCATCAAACTGAAACTTGCTGTTGCATCTTTTCCAGGAGTCTTGCAATTTTTATTTAGTATTGTATAGTTTTGAGCTTTACGCACGCAGCACTCATTTCAGGACTGAAGTAATTTCTGAAATTCATGTGCGAAAATATGCATACGGATTACCGAAAAACGTTTAGATAATTGAAAAACAGAATTGATCATTAAATCGATACATAATTCTGGTTCAGCAAAATTTTAATGTTGGGGAAATCATGAACGAATCATCTAAATTCGGTCTGTTTTGTCTCACCATCTCTACGGTATTGAGTTGGAATTATTATATAAGGTCAATGGCTCGAAAGGCGTCCATAAAAGTTGGATCTCTTCGATATATTTCCCCGTTGAGTGCGTACTTCACTTGTGAAAATTACCAATACGTTCATGCATTGAACATTTGCTGTCATACTTTGGCAGGTGCTTCTGTGACCATACTAGTAGAACTGCTAGATACAGAATTAAAATAATAATATCAAATATGATTGGCTTTCAATTGCTGTCCCAACTGCAAACTCTCTCCAATCGACGAAAGTTGCATCGCAGTGCTTACATTTACAGATATATATATATATCCCAATGAACTGCGCTCTTCTGAACTTGCCACCTAATAAAGTTTCCAGCTGTCAAACTTTATTTATTCCGAGATCTGACCTTTTCTATTGTCAGTGTACATATATATGAGACAAAACAATTGGTGCAATTTTTTCTCAGTTATGCGGAATTCACTTCCCCTCGTACTCACTGTACACCATATTGGTTGTATATATAAAGTTTGTGAAAATATAAATGATAAAACGTTGCAAAAAAAGTTCGTGGCATGTTAGGCAATGGTGTGTTTAACTAAGATTGGGACAAGTAGGATTTTGAATCATTATAAAGCTAGTACAAAAATCATAAGCCTGTCAATTTTTTATAGGGTTTATACAGACTGCTAGTCAGTTTTATTCGGATTTTGACACTTGGTGCTAACAACTTCGGCATGTGGCACGCTGGTCCATCTATATCACCACATGTGCAGAAGATATAGCTTAGAGTAAATAGAATACATAGCTTACTTCAATAATATAAAGCTAGCTATTGGGTCATAATTTTATATCAGATATTGACTTGTGCCATGCTGGTCCATGTACTATATTACTATGTGAGTATAATGTAATTAGTAATCATTTTTCCACCACACATGAAATACACTTGGTGAATACAACATGTGAAATAAAACAAAACTGGTATTTCAGGGTGAAGAGAGCACGAGAAACCAATAATGGTTATCCAGCAGCGACACCCCTGGATGAAAAAAGTCTTACAATGATTATTATTAAAAGAAATACAAAGCAAGCCGAGGCGACCTAAATTTCCAGAAGACATCAGATACACAAAAACGAAAAGCACCTCCAAGCACTGATATGCCAGTACCCATGGAAACGGCAGCGGGAACACAGTGCGGCAATAGAATACTGACATAATGGAGCCGAAAGTTATTCGAACAAGATTTTAATTTATACCCCACGATGGTAAGTACGCCAGTAACAAGGCGCAATCATAGTCGCAAAATGTTGCAATCTTTCGAAATGCAAGTATATGGAGTCAACCGCAGCGCTGGGGTAAGGTGCTTTGGTGCTGGAATAGTTATAAATTCTTAGAATAAATAACGATAAAAATTATTCTAATTATAGAATAACAAACTCATTCAACAAAATAAATAAATGTAACAATGAATATCAATAAATTTCGAAATTTCTGGTATTTTACAAACTATATAAAACAGTGGTTTTCAAACGATGGGGCGCGCCCCACAAGCGGGGCGTAGACAATCTTTTGAAGAGGCGTGAAGCTAATTAAAAATGAAAATATTTGATAGATTTGATCCTGCCAGCCTTATTTTGGATGCTTACATTTCCAAACTTTTCATTTATTTCATTATTTCTGTTACATCCACGTATTTTCAACATGTTTTTTGACAAATTCTAAAGAAAGAGGCGTCGCTTAAAAAGTTTGAGATCCACCGATATAAAAGATAAGTATAGATTAGTGGATCATAAGCGAAGAAAGATAACAATATCTGACTTGGCTCCAAACAAGAAATAGTTAAATAGTGAAAAATAATAGTGAAATAGTGAAATCATTAATGGATTGAATTATTGTTTGTAAGACACATGACCATACCATATGTAGTGCAGGGCATGTGCTATCATAAAAGATGATAATTAAAAATAACTCCAATATTTACAAAAAACATTTGCAGTGTCTTTATTCCAGGTACTGTGAACTCTGAGAGGCTGTGGACCAAATTAGGCATTTTGCTAGCAATGACAAGGGTGGGACTGGGTGCTGTTAGTACACCAACTGGATGTACTGACAGAAGAAAAGTAGGATGGAGGCACAAGTTTTTTACAGTTTATTTCGAAAGTGGCATATGTGGTCACATAAACTTCAGGTGACACTATTCCAAATGATGACGCCTTTATACTTCAGGGAATTTTGAGATTTGCTCAGTGAAAACGAGGCACAAATGGATGAGACTTGATTAAAGAGCAAGTGAGCAAAATTGCACAAAAGTCACACATATTCTGGCTGCCAATTATTGAGAGCATCTTGAGTAATATCAATCAAATTACCAGGCTGAGGATCTACTGCATTCAGTCTGTTTAAAATATATCGAGGATTGAGAACTCGACCCAAGTTTTGTTGAACTTTCATCATTAATTGATAAACAAATTCAGGAATGTCACCTGCAAAAATGGATGTATTGAGTTCACTGCCAGCAAGACTATCTGACTACCATGTAAAAAGAGGCATATAAACCTACGGGCAGAGTCATTATTTTATGGAGAGCTTCACTGAATGAGGCTGTTATTTGAGACATTGCAAAATATCACTACGTGAACTGAGGATTTAATATAAAATATAAAACCGTTAGAGATTTTTGATTATCACAAACAAAGTAAAATGTATGATAAAGGCAAACATGTGTAAGCCATCAAACATGATAAATACTGGTTATTGAGACTTCTGACTCATAGTATATGCTTTGAAAACATTCCAATACAGTAGTGATTTTTAACCAGTGTTCCTATCAAATTGTTGTTCCGCAATTTTCTCCTGATTGGTATACTTTATATGAGAACAATTTATCAAAGAATAAATTCAAATTTAATTGAATGAGCAAGTATTTGAATTATAGAAGAGTCTATAATATATCGTGATCACCCCGTGGTTTTATGATATCAAAACAGAAGTTTAGCTAGCATTCGGTAAATTTGGTGTTCCGCAAACAAATTATCATATTTAAAATGTTCTGCGTTCTGAAATAAGTTAAAAATTTGTTTACAAACAAGCAACAGGTAATTTGATTTATAAAAAGAATCATTGGAAATTTTTACTTGTATACTCTTTTTCTTTAGCATCAATAATATTGTCATGATTTGTCTTAAACAGCGACCGGAAAACAGGTTTCACTTGGTGTCTGTCAATAGAACTTCCCCACTTCTTTGCTAAATCTAATGCTTTAAAAAAAACAATGCTTTATTAGAACTGTAGCTTAAAACAATCTTGCATGTGTAGACTCCAATATTCCAACAATAAATAACATTTGATCTACATTATATGTTTCAGTGCATTTTACATTTACCTTAAATTTTTTATGACTCAGTGATACTTACCAAACTTTTTACATTCACTTGGAGTAAATTCATCATGGTAATTATTGAATGCTTGAATATTCAAATCATCTACATTCTGTAAAACCTGTGTATATCAAAAGTTATATATTTAAGATATTCCATTTTCATCATTACCAATCTACAATATTCATACAAAGAAATACTGAAAATTGTACATGAGGAATACTTATTAGCAAATAATTTTCATGGGCACTCTCGTAGTATGTGTACCAGGTTAGGGTCAGGGCCATAATTTTAATCTGATTTTCCTTATTTCAGTTCTAGAACTGTCTGTGTTAGCCAATAGTGAATATACCCTCTGCCCAAAGGTTTCAGTCCCTTTACACAGTTCGATGTAAAATAGGCGAACAAAATTAGTTACCTCCATATTGGTACACATACTTCTGGAGTGCCTTTTCATGTACATAAGAAGTAAGATTATCAGTTATACGGCAGCACAAATAAAACCGAGTATAAATGTTAATTGCATATTTAAAAAAAAATTTGGCATTACACACTAATGCCAAGTGAAAAATGCTTCTAAAACAGAAAAAAATTAAGGAGATTTTCAGGGTATAGGTTTTGAACATACAACAATCAAAACCAGAATGTGAATAGCAGACACAGACACACCTAACTCTTAGGAAACAATATATTTGGTAACAATATAACTGGTTAATTTTCTAGCATTTAATAAAAGACTTTAAAATATTCCAAAATCTTATCATAGATTTAGGAAAGTTGCACTATAAACTTGAACCAATAAATTATATCTCTCACCTGTACTTCCGCTACATCATGCTGTATGGAGTATTCTCTGACTCTAGAGTATTCTCTGAAATATTGAAATAAAATTTTTCAATGGCCCCAAAAGCCCCCAATACCATGCTAAAAAGTAAACTAAAAACTATGGAATTTTTAAAATGACATTAAAGTATGCAACTACAAAATATCTGATTGAAATTTGCCTAAAAAATAACAGACTCCGATTCACTTAAAAATGTTACAAAATTCCAAACATTGAACACATCTCATGGGATTTTGAGCTACATGTGATGATTCAGTTTAACACAAGAAAATAGGAACAGTGCTAAGATAATGTAAATTCTAATAAAAAAAAAGTATGGTTTACCTATTAAAGGGGAAAGCTTTATTGTTTGTCTCAGGAGTTCCTTCATAAGTGTGATTGTCTGTACTAATGACACCGTCATCATATGTTCTAGGTTCACTCTCTATTCTTACGCCTAGTAAATCAGCTCTTGAATTATCGGGCTAAAATAACAATGAAATAGGAAATAAAAATAAGGAATTACAATTTATGAGTCAACCTCGGGGTCATGCAATTGCATGATTACAGTACACTATCTTTGTTTTCTGATATCTTGTCTAGAATTTGTGAATATGAAAGTCATGTAAACAGATTATTTATCTTACTATCTTACTTTATCAATGCCTCCCTGAAATACCAGGGAATAAATGTATCTCAGAAAGTCCATATATTTAAAAGATTCAAATTAGATATATCAAAAATAGGTAGAGCAAGACATATGAAGCAATAACATTTCTATAGAAAAAGATAAGAACTAAGATAAATTCTTCATAGAAACTTGTTGCAATTCCTTATTCTACAATGCTATAGATGAATAGATATTCGGAAATTTTTCCTACTCATAAATAAAAAGGATTCTCGAAAAATTCAATTATGGACATGTTGCAAGTTTTTTGCCACATTTACTAATTATTGATTATTAATCAATTTAATAAAGTCATATTATAATTTACAACATCTTACTGTTGATGTCTGAGAACTTTTTCCATTGTTTTTGCGAGTTCCTAGAGAATACAATGTTTAAAATTTTAATTCTGAATTGTAGTGTATGCTTTTTAATATCTGATTTTCAACCAATAAACTTTCTATGATTATTAACAAAAGTATTCTTTATACCAGTGGTCGGCAGACTGCGATCATTTTTTGAAGCCCTCTACTCACAAGTCGCTCATGACTTTGTTATTATCCGCACGTGGATGTATGTCGTAGTCATAGCAATGGCTGTTGTGCAGTGTTTGTTTTGTAGTAAGAAGCAGAAGCGAATATTGTCAGTTGTATGTCATTTACTTGCCGAATGTGTTTACACCGACCACTGCTTTACACCAACCATTACCAAATCATTGGTTACCCAAATTGTAATAATGGTCAAGTACTACAGATAAGCTCAGATGAAATTTATATTTTAATCCATTAAAAAATCACACACCTTGGCGTCTTTTCATTCTCCAAATCATAAATATCACAACTGATATTACAAAACCAATGAGACCTGCAGCCAGCAGTCCTTTTCCCAAGTCTGGCATTCCTGTATAACCATAAAATTCAGTTCTTTAGAATAATAGCATTATTTTCACTTGGATCTTCTTTTCATATTTTTATAAAAACAAAACTTAATATCAAGTAGAACTAAAATATTTGGATATTCCGGTCAAACAAAACAAATTTTGATACATACAACCCATATCTGCCATATATAGACACAAAATTATGGAATCATTATTATTCATATTCTTACCCGGATTGACTGATGGTTTGATGTGTTGATTTGAATCATTTGTGACAAAGCTATTTGTTGTTAGACCATAGTTTGTGGTTATACTATCTAAAAAATAGAGACAAACAGCATCAAAATAGAGCTAGTTAACGACATGGACAGTGCCATATTATGATACTTAAGAAATCCTAATTACATTATTTAGCACACCATAAAAATGATCTGTGATTTTAAAGCTATAATATACTATTATTTTCTTATTTATTACAATTGTTTGCTTTTTACCAAGCCATATTAAATATATTTTGCTATTAATTAAGCTCCATTACCGTGTAAAAAAAAAGTTTGTTTTGTCGTTGGTTCCATAATGTGCTTAGGTGAGTTAGGTGTACTAAATTTCCCTTTTGATGCATCTGTCATGAACAAAATATTTTAATTGAAAAAAAAAACATAACTATTTTATACAACTATACAATTGTATGCGTGTGGCAAACTGATGTTGAATATCTAGTACTTTTATATTATATTATGCATATTGAAACCACTTCTTAATCCACATTTCCCAACTGGGGCATTTTGTCATTCTTTAAATAAATTTTGATTTGTATTTGCTGTAAAGATTTTCAATCAATATTTCAACCAAATGTCAAATGCACCATGAGTACAATACACGGATACATACATTGGTACAATACAACGGTACATACATGGGTACAATACATATGTACAATGTCAAATGCACTATGGGTACATAGGTCCAATACTAAGTACAGAATAACCTACTTGTTCGAAGTTTTTTTGTTCCAGATGATGTTTTGGAAGCTGAACTGTCAGTAACACTTTGAGTTATTCTTGTGATAAGCTTTGGCTTTATTGTTGCTTCTCTTTCAGCTGGGCTTTTTGTGCTTCTGACTTCAATACATTGTCGATGTTTTTCAATCATATGAGCTGGACAGACGCACCTACAGAAAGAATGAGAGTATAAAAGCATACATTTGATGTTATATACAAATGCATGGAATAAAAAATTGACTGCATATATTATGGGCATCCATTCAATAGCGCATAATAATTGTGATGAGCAAAATATCTCGTGGGTCGCGAAAATCAGCCATGTTACGATGAAGATATAAATTCAGACTGTGAATGGTGGAATACTAAGGATGAATAAAATCTTTATCTCTTGTGCCGACTGACCGACCTATGACTGTTCGTAAATGGCCTATTCTACAGTAAAGTGAATGATATTATCATTAACGACTCTTGGAATTTGATATTTTGAGACAAAGATGGAAAAAATGTTGAAAATCACATTATGCTCATTTACGAATTGAAACGATATTATTCAAACATAAAACAAGACATCATGAATATTGTTTTAGCAGCTATGAGACAAATAAAATGATATATTGTAACACTATTTCAGATACTATGAACAACAAATTGCAAAAAACACATTATTATGTTTGGTTACCAACATAAACCATATTGTAAGAGGCAATAATGTTCATGGATGATTTTGTGTGTAATGCACCCATTCAACCATTGTCGATTTAAAACGAGCCCTATTAAAAATTAGTGTCACAAAGTTACTCGGTATACTGATCAAGTAAAATCTAGTACCGGTAAATGTAAATTATATATGTTTGATCAATTTTTTATTCCACTCAAATAAATTGTACATCTGTATTGTAGTTGGGATAAAAGAGTTATGTATTAACGGCAGTCGCAAGTTTACTTTAAATGCAATTATTATGACATTTTGAAGGTTATTACCGGTTGTTTCGCAACAAAAAAAAAACAATATCAGTTGAAAAAGTCAGCACTTTAAAGAGTGTTTGTAAGAGCGGCCATTGTTTTACATGCTGATATAACTGAACTTCAGAGTCTGTATGGGTAACGACATAATATGAATCAGCAGTCAGCAGACTACAATTCATAAAACAGGCATGTTTAAATTCAAATATTTACAAACTGACAGGAATAACTATCCATAAAAATACCCCTTTCTAGGCACAATCGGAACAAAAACTAACTACGGTAAATATGGTAATATCGCATGTCGTTCAAAACATATATCAATTTAAAATTTATTCATAAGCATGACTCATGAGGTCATAAAGACAATCTTGTAACAATGCCTTACAAACTTATTTGCATCATAAAAGCCTTGACTAGCGATAGTAGCTTCTATCACATGTCAGGCCTGGGTGTGGTGTCAGTCATACTACACTATTCCTTGATATCTAAATCCAAGTTGTTTGATATTCCACAACCTTTGTTGGTTTGCCATGGATGGCCAAACATGTAAAAAACATCTGATGTTGCTCAAGCATACGATGGATCATATTCATGTACCGGTAATACAATGTTATCACTATAGTTGGGAGCTTAGGATACCGTGGGCCAAACTTGGATATACAATAAAAAAAGAAAGTCAAACAGCTTACAGTTAATAGTCAAACAGTTACGGTAATAGCTGGCTTTATCACCATGACGGTGCAAATTAATACAATCGATATGAATGTGATATACAACACCAAAATAAACCACTGTGACGCACCATCTTGCGAAAACGGAGTGCCACTACACAAGATAAACTTTATATCTTATAAAAATCAAAAAATTCTAGGGTAAAATCCCAGTATAAACAGCAGTTGATTAAATATCCTTAGAATAAGGGCCTTATGAAAAAATATCAGTTTCCAATCGTTCACTCAAGTCTCTAATGAACCTTTTTTTTTAATTTTGAAGTATTTTTCAAGAAAAGCAGTTGTCACTAATACACTTTTATGCATAAACAGACATAGTAGTCAAAGTGTTACATGATCATAGAACATAATTTTTGTCTTCTTTTAAATCCAAACAATGGAGAAATATGTCTTTACTAAAAATTCTTTACTTACTTAGCTTCTTCCTTCGTAGATCCTTCCATCAGTATCTTGGGTTGTACACAAGAAGATACTTTCTGGCGAAAACATTCCGTTCGATCATGAGGTTCATAATCGATGTAAAACCTGTCTCTTGTATCATCGGGATTGAAATGGCATGACTTGCAGACAGTAGATGTCGGATCAGTCGAACTGTTGATAAATGTTGAACAAATCAGCAATTCAATTCCCTTTTACAACTATGAATAATATCAATTCAAGGTATTCAAGGATATTCAGTTACAAAATCAATTTTCAAATTTATGATACATACAAACCTAAACTACATTTCAGAGTATAACACTGTCTCTAATATGACAGTATAGTTAGGTTGTCAATAGTTAAAAGTAGAGATGTACCGATGTATCTGTATCGGCTAAGTGTAGACCGATGTATTCAGCTTTTTAATATGATCCAGAATGTTTTAAAAAATAAGTTAAAATACTGATCTTGAAATAATTTTATGCTTGGATAGATTGTATGAGCCATGCACATCCCCACCCCCATGAGTAGAAAGGGGAATAGGGTTCTGACCTGGTTTAGCTATTTTTCAGCCAGGCTAGCTAATTTGGCTATTTTGCTGCCAAATTTTAATATTGAAATTTTTAATATTACATGATAATTATGAAGAAATATAACAATCGAATATCAGTGGATTTTCTGATGTGTAAAATACAAAATACGACATGATATTTGCACAAAATCCCACGCACGTAACTCAATGTATCAGTTTGATAGGATAAAGAGGCTTAACATTTATTTATTTTGCCACCAATAGTAGCCGAACCCTATGAGTTGAACACCGAGATTACCAGCATCAGTGCTCAATGCATCTGAATCAATTAACGCATTTGGATCCCAAACATCAATCCCTTAATATATGTATATATCTCTTTTACAATCTGAAATAATGTGCACTATTAATATTGCTCAAAGACTATCGTTTTAACTCGAGGTAATAATTACATAGTATCGAAATATCAGCTTTTTTTTCAAATATCGTCGTATCGGTATCGACGTTTTTAGTTGGTATCGGTGACGAAAGTGGTATCCGCACATCTCTAGTTAGGAGTCGTAACCTTCCAAGGGGCTAGTAAATATATATTAATCTTTTTCAAGTTCGTGAATAAAGACCATACTACAGTATACTAGAATTAGATATTAAATGAAATAATAACTGTTTAATTCAAATCAAATTCCACTAGAGTCTCACTTGCAATCTCCTGTCCACTTTGTTCCAGCACCACACATACAGCATAACTTTTTTTCAACAGTATCCATATATGCATTGAATTGGTCACTTGTTCTCTTCAAATTGTTGCATTTTGAAGATATAATATACTGAATGTAAAATTTAGGAGATTAATGTATATTTTATAAGTTGTTAACCGTAGGCAAAAACATGCCAAATTAAAAACTTACATCTCGGTTTGCCATTTTTACTTTTCCTTCAAAGATTCTTTATCACTGGTACTTATCCTTTTAATTTCTAAATAAAATAAATAATAATACATCATAACTTAATTTCAAAATATATTTTGTTCAAATCAGGTCCTGACCCATCTACAAAAAGTGGAAATATTACCAATGAAAGGGCTACAAGATATCACAGACTTGGCAGTTGACAACAACGTTGAATATAGTCAAAACAGTCAGAGAAATATGGAAAGAAAATTCCCAAAGCAGAATTTATTGGCAAAACTTTAATATTACTTGTATTTCAAATAAAAATGTCCCAAACGCTGGGATTTATTTGATATCAAACAGGTGGCATCTGGTTTTCATTTTAATCTTGATTTTTAGTAGTCATGGCTTGGACACTGTTAAAATCAATAATACATAAAGAAACAAGGTGCTCTGCTCTCTCATGATCTAAACCAGGGGAGTGCAGCCTTCATTACAAGAGGGCCAGATACAACTTACTAGGTAAAACAGTGTGCCGCACCTTTATTCAAGATAGCTTTTCTAGTTGTTGCAAGCACAAAAAATTGTTTCTTATCGTTATTGATCTCAAGGCATGTTAGGGGGCCTTGCAGAAATGGTGAGTTAAAACGCATAAAATTTTAAAGAAAACTGCTATTCAAATTTATTGTCACACCGACTTCAAACGTTTTCAGTGCGAAACACATTTTTATAAAAATTTGTATTTTGCAACAGGAGTACCGTAATCGGAGGTGCTGTGGTGAGCGTATTCCTAATGCTTAGCACAATGAGCCACACCACCACACTCGTTTCGCAGCAAACCATTCAAAATTGGCACTTCTCAGCGGGCCACAGAAATTTTCCTTGCGAGCCACGCTGTGGTTAACCGGTTCATTATACCTGTTTAACCTGTTAACGGTCTAAGTGTTTTCACTAAAATTTCCAGCCATAGGCAGCTAGTTTAGACTAGTCTTCATTCCCATACAGTTACCGGTAATAATAAGTATAAGTTCATTTCGCCTTCATAATCAGCACAACAATAAAATGATTGGTAAAAATAAATAAATAAAAACTGATTATGAAATCACCAGAGCAAACAAAACCTTAGATAAGGTTCAAAACGTACATAATGTATACGGTATACCAGTATACTGATATATGATGGAAGGTTTTGCCAAGAAGAAGCGGTACGTGTTCACTCACCTAAAATAATTAAAATATTTCACACACGCAACCATACAGAAGTTATAAAGTAAAAAGAACATGATAAATTATATCATGGTAGTTAAAAAAAAATAAATAAATAAAAATATCACTTGCCACACCATAATAATAAATTTAGACTATAAGTATAATGTTTGCCACTGCCGAATTGATCGATTTTATAAATGGAAGTGAACAGTAAAGATAACTTTAATATACAAAATATATACAATATACAAATATACTTTAATATACAAAAATATATTGCCAAGCTGATTATAGTTGGAGTCAATTGCCAATATATTAATAATATCATTTAAGCAAAATTACATTGTATTAGCTTATCGTTCTATTTTAATATTAAATTTATATACTGGTGGCGGTACCTACCATTCAATTGTCTTCGATATCTTATATATTTCTCGAATAGTGTATTTCAAACTCGCTTATCTTTTTCGCATACAGTACCGGTACCGTACGTCACTACGGTACCTACTCACTTTCTCCTCTCTCTCGTTGTTTGAGACTTTCTCTTTGGAAAATTCTAGAATTACGTAAAGCGCGAGGATATAAATCACGCGTTTCAGTAAACATGGATCATAAAAAAAAACATAAAGTGAGACTAATTTAACAGTACTCAAAGTAAACACGGAAATACACAAACGTTATCTAAACTTTTATTTTTACAATAAACTGTCATAATGTTGAATAATTTCAATAATGCTTGATAAAATTTAACGATATCTTTTTGTTTACCTCAGTGATAATTGAGTGATTACATCGGAATTATTTATTGCTTCCTCAATAGGAAGTATGAGTCACGATCACGAGGCTTCTCGCGCAACTACAACAACCCGGGGATTCCCCCAGGGATACAATACGGTAATATCGATCAGGGTTGCCATATTTGCCTTTATAATGTCAAATTTCGCAATTTTGGCATTTTTAAACACGTTTGGCGTCAGTAAGTATGCAAGCATATGCAAGTATTGCACATGCTTTAGTTAAAAGCTCTTTTGTATTTGTGATCTCAAAATAATAAACACCACACCCCTTGATCGTATGAAAAACAACTGTGGCTGTTTCTATTTGAAAGCTGCAATTTGAATCACACCCAAAATGGGCAATGAAATATTTCCTTACTGCCAATCTTTATAGAAGAGGTCACAATTCATTAACTTGTGATGATCTATGGCAATTAACTGATACATTCAAAGCGAAAACACTCAATTTTCATTTGTGCAACTTCACTCAAGTATTGCACACATATCTCATTTTAGCCAATTGATGGAGTACATTATTATCATCCCCTATGTAAGTGCATTTTAACTGGAATCGTACTATTTATAGTGCGCGTCATATAACATTATAAAACCCACAAAAAGCATTACTGTATTATTTGGCATGCCCGGGCTTAAGCTCAATTTTGAGATTTTGCATCTTTTTGGTACCTTATACACTGTTGCTCAAATTTATTCTGCTACTTTGTAGTGATTTTGTTTAATTTTTTTTATATATATGCTGCCTTAAGTCGTTCACCATTTACACAAAATGTTATTGTGTATTCTCCAACTTGAAATACCCGTTTCCACACAATTGATGCTCCATTTACTCAAAACTACATATTTATGTCAAATTTGACCAATACCAAACTTGATCAAACGCCTTTCCAATTGTGTATATTTAACTATTTTATTTTGTTTTTGGACACACCTGGAATATGTTAAACCGCAAATATATACTACTGCGGGTTAAACCATATCTGAATCATTTTTTATTCATGTTTATTGATATTGATATTGGGTGGTAACTGACTCCGATGACCGCGTGGTCGTTGCCAACCAGTCTGTACCGAGAACTGTTTAGCATTTTATTAATTGTGTTTTTGGACACGTAGTGGACATAGTGATCGTTTTGTTGTTAGTCTTGTTGTTGTTGTTGTTGTTCTTAGACACGTTTTGAAGAAATCGCTTTTTTCTTTGATGACTGGACCAATTGCCTTGAAATTTTCAGTGTTTAAAGATAGAATTTTTCTCCAGAAAGCTATCACTTTTTTCGCTATGACGTCATCAAAATGTGGCTCTACGTATCCATATATTTGAGCATAACTCTCTTGTTTGTTGTGTATATGTTTTCTGGTGGACAAAACAAATAAACTCTTTTTCTCTCTACCTAACAAAAAGGATATATAGACACAAAGTCGAACGAAATGTTTTACCATCAACTCACTGAGAATCATATGGTATCCTGAACGAACCTGTGCGCAAACAGGTAACGGTGCGCGGACTACAGAACAAAATAATTTTAGGTACGACTTTTTTCTATAAAATCCATCCTAATCAGTGGTGGATAAATGACAGCACCCATTTCAGTCCGACCATAAGTCTGTGGTTCCCAACCTATTTTTTTTATTGAATTCCTTCCTTATCTATTTCGGAACATATCTCATGGGACGTTACCCATGGAATTTCTATGAACAAGTCTGCCAAATACCGCGTCAGAACTAGACCATTTGGAGAACTCGTAAAGCCATAAATAAGCCGTAAATATCAATCACAAAAGGAACAATAGCCGTAGTCTAATAATTTTGAAAAGATATAAACAGAACAACTTATCTTTCACCTATATTACGGAAACAAAAACTGAGAAGAAAGATGCATATTTCAAAACCATAAAGATTTCTAGATGTCGCTCTGATAATTAATCAAGGCAAAGGTAGCACATTTTTAAGAAATATACCAATTATGGCTTTGATTACGATACAAGTATTTAGATAATAAGCCTAAATTAAATGATATAAATAAGACACCAAGACTTCGAACATTTATGTTATCATTTACACTCACTGGAGCTATAAATTTGTTTCATACTTGAATATACCCATAAAATGTCGAACGGCACGCTTCAATAATTTCATTGGCATATATATACTTAAGCCATATATATAAAGCCTGAAAGTTTGCATAAACGCTAACAATGGAGATGGAGAAAATTATAGCCCGATTCAAAGATCTAAACCGCTTTCAAAACGCGAAAACAGCTAGCGGCAATTGTCAACCCAAAACGTTCCTATAAGTGTGTTAATATTTTCAAATGTTTCATTCGTGCTTTCAGTCCCAGGAACATCAGTGTATATAAAGATTGGCCGACAGTTGCAAAAGAGCCAGGACAAATAGTTTGTTTTCCCATTTCCTTATATTTAATTCAAAACGTGAGGATATGTGTCACACTGCCTTTTATTACATGTTGGCAAATCTAGCCACAGATCATGATGTTACGAATATGTGGCCCACGAGTCTGGGATTGAAGCAGTTTATGCTAGGGCAATGGCTTCTGATGGATGGACTACTTGCTGCTGTAGTGGATGGCTTCTGCAGCAAATACTTTTCGTCAAAAAATAAGAACGTGGTACCTATTTTTATCTATCCCAACTGATAATGGGATTATAATCAGAGTAGGGATATCGCTGACAGGAAAATTTAGGATGAAGGCGTCTTTCTGGTGTAAGAATTATTTTTTGCGGGAACTTATGCAAAACAGTGGCTCAGTCGAAATAAAGACAAGGATAATAGTTGTTGTGGCATTGCTCTATTGTCATTATCGGATCTTTCATAAATTTACAATCTTGAAAATTTTATTTAATGTCGTATGCTGTACTATTTCGTTTTACGCAAAATACATTCCTATTATCGAATTATTATTCAAATATTGAAAGAATTTTTTTTTTAGGTGTAGTAAATTTGATACTTAATATTCGTCCTACAAAATTTTTACAGATGTTCGTGATGCTTGTCAACCAAAAACTTTTTACGTGGCTTTATATGTTTAAAGTTCGTCTTCTCTCAGATACTGCGCATGGTTTAGTATTGGAGTAGTGAACTTGCAGCCCAAAGCACTGTTACAGTATTATGGTTACTTCAATATTGTCTTTTTGAATTCCATACGTTTAGATAAGATTCTGATATGTTTTTTCTTGCTTGTTCGACTGCTTTCAACGTTTTCGGTTTATCACTGTGATCTATAAAATAGTCGGCATCATCCATGGTTGCAGTTGGAATCTGAATCGGCTCGTGACGACGAATTCCTAGTATTGTGGAGGTTGCATGATCGGCATAAAGATTTCTTCGTTTGATCTGTAAACAAAAGTATAATATTTTAGGATTTCTTAAATTTTTTCAAATATACTAACTGATTGAAATTGTCCTCTTTAGGGGGTGAAATGCTATTGCTCACATATATTACGGGACTAACATATTTAGGTTACCATATATTCTTTTTCAAAATCCTTGTACTGTGCCGTTCTGAGGATATGACTCCACGACGAAATTTGAACATATCAACTACAAACGAGTCCCTTGGTGTACCATTGCTATGATTCTCTCTACATACATTGATATTGCGAAACATACACAAATTTAGTTTGTTATCTGTCTTATCAACACGTGCCAAGATAATATTTAGAAATTGGCGCATAATAAACTAAGTTTGAAAAAATGTATCAATTCGCTATTGGTATCGTTTCTGCGTATAGTTACTAATATATTTATTCAACAAAATCATTTTTCGAGACAGTGAGTTGCTCAAGGTTTTGGTCTCTCGAATTACTTAATTACGATTACTTATTACGATAAAAGTGACCATATAAAACCGTGGTAAAATAATCTTTTGGGATTTACTTTTATATTTAAAAGCTCTATAGTCTATATTAATACATAGACATGCAAATATATTTTTCCTATACATTCTGAACTTTCAAGAATAAAAAGCCTGGACTCTCAACATTGGTTTTCAACCGCCTTATGATCTTCTTGGTAACAATTTTAAATATCTCATTTTTTAGCAATGAACAAATGTTTCATTAACCTGGTCTGCCAACTGTATTTTTCGCTTTACTATTTGCATTCTGTTCTTTTTATGATTTTCCATTATTCCAAAATAAGTATCTTGTAATCTTTTCTTTTTCAAGTTTTCAAGAGTCGTATAATTATATTCTTCCA